CATCACTATACTTTTCATTCTTAAAACATCCAAATATTTTTCTCAGATTAAATGGAAACCTAGTTTATTTTAAAATTTGTTTTTATATGCTTTGTGATCGCTTGCTTATATTTTGTTTGATGATGGCTGAATTTTAGACATTCTTATGGCATAATTTATAAATGAATTTTAATTACTTTATTTTACTATTCCTAATTGCCATCTAAAACATGGCTTAGAATTTACATGTTGTTTGGATGGGTGAGACTACTGTTTTCATTTAGGAAGTGTTAAAAATGTATGCTTTGTAAGTTTGTGAACTGACAGTTAAAATTGCATGTATTTACTGTGTATACAACATGATACTTTGAAGTATATAAAAAACAACTTTAGCTCTCTTGTATTAAATCTAGCGATGGAAAAATAATCTCATTGAACTTGTATTGCAGTCTGATGCTTGGCCACAAATTCACTTTGTGGCTTTAGTCAAAGATAAATTTTTCTAAGCCCTTTCCTTATTATTTATAAAACTGAGGTGCTTTTTCCTACATCATTTACATGCTATACTCTAATGTTAACATACTATTATTTTGTTTTGAAACATTTCCTCTTTCACTTTTATACTCAATTATATATTTCCATTTTTTGATTAAAATAAAAATTTATATATTTCTGCTGGCAAGTTTCTTATTCTTGAGATGAAAACTTGAAAACTCATTTTTATAAACTATGACATAAAAGAAAAACTGGTGGATGTTTCCATTGAAGCCATGAAACATTTGTACAATATCTGTAGATATTTTTAAAATCACCAAACTTAAGAAATGTATATGTTCAATTATTGACTTGTTTTATTGTTTAGCTAAAAGCTCTTAGTTTGAGTGACACACCTATTTTATACAAGTTAATTTCCTCAGGAGGCAAGTGCCATCTTCCTGCACACATTACAGACAGTGCTTTGTCCAGAGTTTTACAATTGCCATTTATAGTTGGGGCTCTTAGAACTTAACAGCGTATACACCATGTCCCTCCTCCCCTGTTACACTCTTCCTAAGTAAGTTATCAAGTTTGAGACAGTATTTGAATGTTTTCCACCAACCCTTTTAAAAGCTCAACCTAACTTGTGGAAAAGTTATTGTTGGCCTGTACATTCAGCAGACAGATTTTTAAGAGATAAAAGAAAAGAAAGTAAAGAAAAATAAATTGGAACCATCCTTTTTCCTTATTTTCCAGTTTCTCAATGTCTTCACTGTAACCTGCCCTCGTTAGTTTCTTCTCCAGCTCAAGGAAAGCCTCGGTGGTAACAGTATGAAACTCACTGCAAAGAGAGCCAAGAGTGGGGCCAGGGAAACCTCCTGAGGCACTGTTCACTAATTCCATAAATCAACTAATGGGAGAGAAACCAGATCTGTGTGGTCTGTAATGCTGTCCCACAAAGATCAATCATGTCACCTGAACAACGTTCAGGGACTAAGAGGCTGGGGTTGCCCATGGGACAATGTTATCCTTTGAGTCATAACAGATTGGGATATTTTTAAAAGTTAGAACTTAGTATCAGAAATGTAGCTGTTGTGAATATAAATACTAAAAGATTATCTTTGCAAAGGACAAAGTGTTATCATGTAACTTATAAGGATCTCCTATATGATCACATTTATTAAAACATCTAGGAACTTAATATTTTTCATTTAGGATACAAGTTTTTTAAACAGTTTTTGTCACACAAGGGACAGACACCATTTGTAATGACTGCTTTGAACAATTAGTGGCTATTTTTTTTTAACAGAGTAATTGACTTAATGAACAGTGGCTATGCAAATATACAGAGCATAGTGTAACAGAAAAACTAAATGTTTTATGTGTGTTATCATATCAAATAAGATCAAGGGGGCATTTTATAAACACATTTCTAGGGCATCATAAGGTTCCTTTAAGGTGAGACTAAGCAGAAAAATAGAAATCAGTAAGGCAGTTTTAAAAGCAACACTAGAGAGGAGGTTTTGAAAAAAATGTGAATGAGGGTCCCAATACAACCAGGTGAGTCTGTCTTCATTTCAGTTTTCTCACTCTGAAAAAAAAAAAAAAAAAATCTGACTATGCCTCCAGTCTTTGAGATGAGAACAAGTCAAAGGGAAGAATGGCACATGAGGCTTGAAGTGATCAATAAGAATATATATATATATTATGAATATGAACCGGATGTTAACTGACAACTGTAATTCAAAGCCCACAAATATTAGCTATGGAGTTTACATCAGGAACCATAGGTGATATCCACAATGAGTCCCCACATAACTACCCTCAGCCAGGAACCCATCAGATCTCTAAAACATTTTCTCAGATGAGGATGGACCAAATTAAAGAGAGAAACCAGGTCACCAGGGGGACTTTTCACCTTCCAGCCATTCCTGTTTCAGTTTTGGGTCAGTCACGTAAGCCCTGTCACACTGACATGTGCCCAGCTGGCTTCCTACAACCATAACTGTGTGTTTGCACGTGGATTTAAGACAGTCATGATGGCATTGTCTTTTTTAATGATCTAGATAGAATCTTAGACAATTTTTAAAAACTTTTTCTTTCATTTAGCCAAACAGCCTTGCGCTAATAATCTTAGCCTCGAAGCACAACCCATGCTCTGATAGAAGGGGTCTGAAGTTAGAAGATCACCTTAAAAGTTCAAAGGAAAAAAAAACCCACCTTCCTCTCCTATCCATACCTCACCTTGTGAAGATTAACAGGTTTTTGTGCATGAGAATTTTTTAAAAGAAGAGAATGTAATTTTATGGGATTTTGTCATCAAAATGCTTGAGAAATTTAAATATCACAACAAGCTTGTATTAAAACTACCAAAAGAAAAGAAAATCATACCAGCATAGAAACTTGTACAGAAAACCTGCTGGTACTCACATCAAACTTCTCCAAGGTAATTATTTATTAAATCAGAATTATTCAGTTACCACATACTCTAAATTGGGATGCTGGTAGTGCCATGAGTCTAGCTAAAGATGAGGCCTAAGCGCAGAACCAAAATTATAATTCTAGATTCTACATTTCAAGAGGAAAAATGAAAGCCATGTTGTCCTTATCAATTGGAAATTAATAATTTCAATATGAACTGAATTTTAATTTCCCATAGTCCTTAGAGACCTAGAGAAGTTTTAATAAATTAATCCAGAAAGAAGATTCCAAAGCTATTTTTTGCCACCTAAGAAAATACATGGACCTGCATTATAGTTGCTATTATCTTTGCTCAAGGAAGGCTGTCAAAAAAATGTAATAAACCATTTAGGAGTAAAGTTAAACTTTCCAAAAAGAGACAATTTACCTTATAAAGAAGAAATGCAATATTTTGATGAAACTGATCATACTCAATAATGACATCAACATAATCCTGTTATTTTTAGAATCACAGAGTGCTATCTAGTTTGACTTACACAATTAAAGGTTTTAAAAAAAAAAAAAAAAAAAAAAACGGTATCTTCTCTGTGTTCAAACCTGTCCCAAAGATCTTTAACCTTCCTCTTTATTCTTTTCAAGACTACTTCCCAGTTCATAAAGAAAACTTCTCTAAGCAATACTTACAATTTTTAAAAGAATGTACAGATACCCCTCAGATGATAACTTATGAGAGCCACTCTCATCATGCAATTCACCCCACAGAATATTCCCAAATGCTAAATCCACCACCTGCAGTCTCATGCATATATGAACATCTAATTATCTACCCTGTAAATTTTATCAAGGGATTAACTATAATTACTTGTCCACATTTCTTTGCTTAATATACCACCAAAACCATTTAGCTGTGATTTTTTTCATTTTCCCCCTTGTTTTGATCAGGACACAATATAAAATTTTTATCAAACCTATCAATCTCTGTATTTAGCATAATTAATAACCTCATTTAACAATTACTTTAGTGATCACCTGTTCAATATCTGTTTTAAGGACATACAGGTAAAAGAAATTATTATTAGCCATATAAGGTAGCAACCAAAACTTGCTACTTTGCAACCACAAAATGGTTACTTTGTCCAATGGAGAGACCAAGGGAAATACTTCTTTTGTAATGAGTTTTAGAAATTACTCATTCTGAAACTACATAAAATAATTTTTAAACAAAATCACCATCATCTTCCTGAAATTAACTAATTGTATCCCTTTATTCTAAGTCACATCTCTTTAAAATTTGAAGGTGGAAATTTGCTTTCTACACTGTTTCAGCTTTCTCCAAAAGTATCAGATATGCAGAAAATACAATAGAAAACATTCTCCCTTGATTAGGAGAAAAACTATTATAGAAACGGGTAGGAAATCCCCTTCTGAATCCAGGTGTTTCAGCTTCAATGAATACTGTTGTGTGGTTTGTTGTTTTCTGTTTTAATGAGAACAGGCTTGTATGCCACAAACTGTGTCCTCACTGTTATAATTGGGCCACTAACTTAGCCAATAAACTTGTATAGGATGTGATGTGTCCAGTCCTTTGGGCAAAGATGCCCCACCCTTTAATAAAGAGGAGGGGGCATTTTAAACCACCAAGGGAAAACACTGAGAACACTGACTGTGAAACTTCAGATTCTTCAAACCAATTACATTATGGTTTTCCCCAGAGATAAAAAGGAGGGGACCCTCTCTACCAGAAGGGCGGTGTCACGTGAAGTGAAGCTGGGGCGGGTGGTGGAGAGGCCAATCCTTTCGCAAACCACCTACAACTCTTACCACCTGAATGAAGCTTCAGAGATCGGGTACTGCATCTTGAAGCCAGACAAGAATCCCTGAAGGGGAGAGGGAGTGAGGAGGGAAGGGGGGAGACTGGGAAACAAGAAATCATCTCCTCTGACCTCTAGTGAAGTGCCAGGTTTTTTCTTTAGCTCTTCACATTTTCTAAATTTGCAGATCTGGTGTCCCGTTTTGCGGTTCCTGCAACTGCTGCAGACGCCACAGTTGATGAGCCTCTTGCAGGGCACGCAGACCCCACACCTTTTCCTCTTCTTCTTGGCTGGGTTGGCTCCGCCAGCTCCCCCTGAGGAGGACGAGGAGGAGGAGGAATGATTCTGCGGGCAGTCTGCCAGATTGGCAATTTGAAACGCACTGTCTGTGACGGCTGCTGAGGCTGCTGCGGGGGAGTGAAGGGCTGTCATGACGATGACCCCTGGAGGTAATGAGATGCCCCCTAAAGCCGGGATAGCGGAAAAAGTCCCCACGCGCTCGGGGAGATTCATTATCTCTGCTTCAGCAGCGCCGCATTTGAGCTTGTTCATGCATTCCCCCGCCAAAGGTCTGCAGTGTTCAGGGGATAAGGTGGAGAGGAAATTAGTATTTGCCATTTGCAACGACGGCTCTGGCGGGCAGCCAGCTTTCCCCAGCCTCTGGGAGTCGTTTCGGTGGTGCATGCTGGTCCTGCTGCCGCTGCCGCCGCCGCCGCCGCCACCGCCGCCGCCGCCACCGCCGCCACCGCCGGCGGGGAGGATCGCCGAGGAGGAGGAGGAGGCGGAGGAGGAGGCGGCAGCGGAGGAGGATTTCCTGCCGCCCCCGCCGCCCCCTCCCCCGCCCCCGCCCCCGCTGCCGCCTCCCCCGCCGCCGCCCCCGCCCCCGCCGCTGCCCCAGAGCATGGCGGTGGCGGCGGCGGCGGTGGCCGCGTTGTCGCAGTTCCAAGGGGACATGCCGATGCGCGCGGCGGCCGCGGCGGCGGCGGCGCTGCTGGGGAAGATGGGGGTGGTGATGCGCGCGATCTTGGCAGCCTGTGGGAAGGCGCCCCCGTTGGTCTTGTAGAAGGAGGTGGCGAAGGAGCGGTAGCGCTCCATTTCCGAGTTGTAATCCACAAGGCTGTTCAGAGCCCCCTCGGGCAAGTGGCTTTCCTTGGGCAAGCCCGGGGCCTCCGGGCTCGGCCCGGGCTCCACGCAGACATTGGTGTTCATGGTGCAGGGGGGGAAGAAGGGGTGCAGGGTGGAAGTGGGGACCGCCTGGTCCGACACCTGGGTGGAAAAGGGGGAAAGGTGGGGGGGAGGGAAGGGAGTGATGGTGGTGTTGGGGTGAGGGCCGAGGCGGGAGGGGAAAGTGGGTTCGGGTGGGGAGAGCAAGGTGAGGGCTGCTTTATTCCTCTCGGGGGCTCATTTCCACACACGGTGAATTCCCAGGCAGCGTCTTCCTTTGCATTATCCTCCAACTGTTACAACTAAAATAAAGAAAGTCATTCCAACGAGCTGCACGAGGAAAAAGATTAAAAATAAATAAACAGCCTCCCTCACTAACCCACCGCCGACACGGAAAGCTCCCACATTCTTCCGTCAGGTCGTTTGCATAAGAATCATCAAGACGTGACCCCCCCCACCGCCCATCCCCCCCCAACGCTCCCAACCCCCGCTCCCTCCCTCCCCACAGCAAACCACAGCTCCTCCCCCCATTCTTATAACCCTCCTGAGAAAATGTATTAATAACCGGGATACCCAGGGAAAGAGGGAAAACGGGGGTGACAAACGCCTAAGGAAAAGGGCAATTGGAGTGCTAAAGACATGCAAATCATGGGTGGGAGGGCGATACTACCTATAAGCAGAGGGCATTTAAACATTATGAAATGTGTGAACAAGTGCTGCCTGGGCATGCAAATGCTGTAAAGTAGAAAACAGCAATGGCCCTATAGGAAAATGAACAGGAAATTAGCAAATGAAGTACTGAGAAAGTCTACAATACATCCGAGTATCAACTGTAAGCAAACACAATACAACTGAGAGCTAAGAGACTGCCCACATACAATCTGAACTAAAGAGGCAGGGAAAAAAGAACTACCAGCTGCCACAGTGTCCTTCTGTGTCTGCGGTCATTAGTTTGAATCCCAGCACAGCTGGCTCTGTTAGGGTCTTAATTCAATGGACCAAGGACAGGTCTCAATTGTACAAGCCATTTGGTGGTGGGGCTTGGTGAGGGTAAGAGGACGGTGTTCTACTTTTCTTTTTTTAAGGTAGAAAATAAAGATAAGCCAGATAATTATATACATATATAACCAATGTCTCAGATTTTAAACCAAGTGCCTGCAGCCTCTGTAAGAATATTCCTAATCATTCTTAATGGAGATTGCAGTCTATTCCCAAGACAAGAGGAAAGCATAGGACTTCTTGAAAAGGATCTCTCACAAGCACTGATTTTTACATTGAGTAAAAGGGGGGGGGGAGCCTTTAAGGTGCTGTTTGCTAGAGAAAAATAACCAGTAAAATGATTTTTTTTTTCATTTTGCTCTTTTTAAGAGGAAAGTTTAATGTTAACTGGGTGTTTGCATTCATCTCCTTGCTTACAGGCCATTATTATGCTTTAAGGAGAGGTATTTTAGTTGTTTATTACAGAGGGAGAAGTACACCACAACCTTTTAAGAAGTAAAGCAAAGACATAAAGTGTATATACACCTAAAAAAAACAGTTTCTTTGTTTCCAGATTTTTTGGCCAGAATCTCTTTTTGTGACATGTTTTGAAGCCCATAGATTGGTCTAGAATGTAGAGTTCAGGGAATTCTACATGGGGCCCACTAGTCTCAGTCTCAAATATTCAGAGTTCAAAATGGTTATCAATTATAGTAATTATTTTATAATTACTTATAATTAAATTAATGAACCATTTATGCCCAAACTTTAAGTGCAAAAACTTCAAGACCTACTGATGAGGTGCTTTAAAAAGAGGGGTTTATGTAAACAAATCCCTAATAGGCAAAGTAAATCAAGATAAGGAACCTCACCCCAGGCTGGATTAGAAGCTTGCAGGCATCTTTCAATCACAGCAAGTCCCTAATCACTCAGGAACCACCTCTGTGGTTTCGCAATAGGGAAAACTGCTCCCTTCTGAGGTCTGAGGGCAATACAAAGGGTGCCCCAAAACGCTCTTGGCTAAATATTCCTGATGCTTGAAAGGGGTGGGGGAAGAACCAGAAAGAATATGCATATAGCTTCAGTTTCTGCGAGTCACATTGTAACTGCAAGACCATAATAACTGCCACTCAGTAAAAACTAGTTATGTCAACCATGCATTAGATATCATCACAGTGAGTGGAGGGAAATTTTTCAACGTTTTAGTCTTTTGACCTTGTTTCAAATAAAGAAATAATTTAATGTCTCTTTTTTAGAGTCTTAGAGTGGTGTTTCCGAACACAAGCTTTCCTTGCTTGTCTGATTGCCATCACCTCCCCCCTTCCTACCTCAAGGTTTAATACCACCAGAAACTGTAGAAAATGATTATGCCCGGTATCCAGGTCATTATTGTTTAATCAATGCATCTCTGGAGCATGAAAAAGGTACCTAAGCCACAGCTATTGTTTGGATTTTATTAAAAAGCAAAATAAAACACACACAAATAACTATAGTTCTATTCCATAGCTAAATTAGAGATCCATACTTCATGATCCTGTTTTGCCTTTAAACAATGTGACTGTACATGCCTAATATTGTATGTCTAGTCTACCAGAGACATAGAGATCAAAGGTCATATTTAACATTCAGGAGGAGGGGCGGGTGCAGATTAATTAATAAATTAATATAGCGACGCTTTTCCTTGCTGGAGTCCAGCATTAATAATCTACTTTCACAATCCCAACGGACAGCAAACATTTAAGAGAAAAAAAAGCCAGAGAAAGAGAAAGAACAATCACTTACCAGTCTCTTTTTATTTGGGGAGCCTTAGAATTTGCAGACGCTGCCAGTCTGCCTTTAATTAGTTGCACATCACCCCCTAACACAAAGAAACACAAATCCAGATGTGTCTTGGCAGCTCCCAATTACAACTTTAATACTTGTAAACAAACTGTTGGGGAGGGGGGGATAAATAAATATGCGGATCAAAAAAAATACCTGTAAATGGCTTTTTTTTCTTGTTGCAGAGAGAAGGAGGAGGAGATGGTGTTAGTGGTGGGGGTGGAAGGAGGAGGAGGTGGGGGGAGAGGAAAGAGTCGAGTGTGAGTGTATGTGTGAGAGCGCGGGGCTGTTGTCGGTGGTCTCTCCTCTCCCAGCGCGTTGCTCTCCGTCCGTCTCCAGTCGCTGTGTGCGAGGGAGGGAGGGAGCCGGGGAGTCTCTCCTCTCTCTCTCTCTCTCTCTCTCTCTCTCTCTCTCTCTCTCTCTCTCTCTCTCTCTCTCTCTCTCTCTCTCTCCCCCCCCACCGTCCCCCCCCTTCTCTCTCTGTTTGTGTGTGTGCGTGTGTGCGGTTGCTGGGGGAGGGGAGCGCGAGAGAAAGGCGAGGGAGGAGGTGTGGAGGCTGGGGGCGGGGGCGCGGGGTGGGGGTGATTGGCGCCGAGGTGAGGAGGACGCAGGGACGTGGACACCTACTGATGATTGGCTGCAAATTACACGGGGAACAAGAGGCGCACGCGGGCCAGCGCTCCTTTTCACAAATCCTCTCCTCGGCGGAGGAGCCACGTTTCCCTGCTCGCCTGCGGATCGCCCTCCCTCCTCGCGCCGGGCTCTCCGGCTCAGCCCAGCACGCAGGGCTGTTGATTATTTTCTTTGCTCTCGGAGATAATTGTTTGGAAGGGATGGAAAGAGGGCGTTTCCGCCACTCTGTGTGGGTTGTGTGTGCGTGTGTGTGTGTGTGTGTGTGCGCGCGGGTGTGTGTAAATAAACTTGTCTGGGATTTCTGGCTGGGTTGAGAACAGCAATATAAGAAAGAGAGAAAAGGTCATGTTTGTTTGAAGAATGCGCTTAGTTCTTACCCAATGGCCTGGTTTTAAATAAATTTCCTGGTGTACCCAGGAAGACATAAAAAAAAATTACTATTTAGATCTTTAAAGTAAGGGAAAACGGACCAGTGGAGTTTTTCAGACCCTTGAGATACTATTATGCCAGAATGTAAAAAATCGGTGATTTGAAGCTTGGCCAATCTGAAAATCCATCTCAATCTCTGTCTCTCTTCTACTCTTCTCTTCTCTCTCTCCTCCCAGCCCCCTCTTTTACTATTCCATCTGGTAGTTCCAAAGATTAAATCAAAATTTTAACTCACTGCCCTATTTTTAATTTCAAACTTTACTTAAACAAAAACTTTGGTATTTCAATCTATTTTATACTAGTATATGATTAACATTTCACTTCTTGCCACTTGGGAAAACACAGTTTATGAATTGAAACATAAATATTTTACCTCAGGTCAAATATAAATAAAACTCGTTCATAAATGCAGCTGTAAATTAAC